CAAACAATAAGGTTCTATATTTCTGGAGTGTGCATGTTCTCCCTCTGTCATCATGAGGTTTTCCTCCAGGTACTCCAGTCCCCCCCACCACAGTCCAAAAACATGCTGAGGCTAACTGCAGTTACCAAATTTGTGTGTGTGGGTATGGCTGTCCCATGATGGGTTGGCACTCTATTGCTCCCAACACTGTGCTCATAGGCTCCAGATCCCCTCCTTGCTTGCAGGGAGGAGTGTTTTTGTTTTTTTTACCTAACAAAAATTTGCTTTAATTTGTTATAAAGACAACATTCAAACACTGAAGGGTGAAGTGCTATGAACATAAGAAATTTACAAATGAGAGGAGGCCATTCGGCCAATATGGGTTTAACGTCATGTTTGCCCAGAGCCTGTCAGCCAACAGAAAGGCAAAAATTAACACATGTACACTATAAAAGGTACTATATTACACAACAATTATGAAGTAAATTGTCATTTACTGCTTAAGGATTTTCATACTTTGGGTAGGTTTAATATTGATTAGATGCATATCTGTATCAATGATGTCAATGTGTTTTTAAATCAATGAGTAGATTAAAAGCAAGGTGTGCATTTTTTTTTCCAGATGGAGCTAGTTGAAGTGGTGCATAAGGTGAGGAGATTGAGGCTCAGGGAGAGATTCAGCCACAGCCCACAGAAAAGTGTGCAGGGAACAGAAGCTCAGAATATCGAGGGGGGAAAAAAGTCAGAGAGGGGTGTTTCACTAAACCATAAAACAAGAACCAAAACAGAAATCAAAAGAACCTTACACACCAGCAGAAGCTACCCTATTTATAATGGAGGCAAAAACAGCAATGGCAAGACTGCTCCAGCAGATAAAATAACCAATCAGTGATTAAAAACCATAATAACAGTAACAAACTAATTTCATACATAAATAAAAATAAAATAAATAAATAAATACATAATATTAAGAATGCATAACCAGTACATGAGATTTTTATTTTTACCTCGGGCGTCCATCCACTGTTGGAAAGGTAAAGTGCAAATCTCCAGTGTCACAAAAATACAAATCTAAATGAAAGACAATGTATACAGGCATAATCACAACAGCATTCCGACTTCGTAGCATGAAGCTAATACATTATGGAAAACCCAAGGTTAACCATCAAGCCTTAAGTAGATTACGGTTGTACATTCTTTTACCACGTGCCGTACAGACTAGTCAGTAGTTTTGCTGTGACGCAACCCCCAGGGATAAACAAGGTACGTTTACTCAGCTGCTTCACTCTGCAGTCGCTCGTTATCGGGAATTCCACATACCCCGGGGCATTTGTGATACACACTGCCACCATTAAAAAAAACAATTAACACTAGCGCACCCGACGTAGGACAGCAAAACTAACGAGACCAACGTACCCCTTTAAAATAGCCGCACTAAAAAAAAAAAACTCAAAGATCCGGCTAATTCCCTTACCTGACGAAGCGATTATATAGACGGCGATATTTTATGGAAGGCCAACGGGGCCAAAACGTCTTAAAAAACACGTCGATTTTTCACATGCAAAAAATCAACACGTCGATTTTTCACACCTTCAGACGTCAAAAACAGGCAGCATTTTGCAACGTATGCTGAAATGGACAAAGCGTCCCTTTCAAAATAAAAGCACCACCAACTCCTGTCCACAAACGTCCCTTAGTTGAGTGTTTCCCTCTTTTTAAATTATCTATTCATTATCAATTAATACATGCACACTGAACATAAAAAACATGGATATACTGCCTTTTTATACTGCCTATCTGCTGTCATACACCTGCCTCAAGTACTTTTGTCCATTAGACAAACAATTGCACATACTTGTAACTTCCATCCAGTGACTACATTCAACATATTTATTCAGCTTTCCCAGCACTGCTGGTATTTAATGGTGTCTATACTGAAGTCTTATTATCCATGTATAAATGGCTTTTTACATACA